GTCATAGCTCACCATCCGGAGGACATCATGGAGGCCAAAGAACTACTTTTTTTTAAGCAAGAAAAAAGTGATAAAAAGCGACATTCAGGTTCCAACTAGCCCAAAAAATACTTAAGGGGTATACCCAAGAGCTATTTTTTGAACCAGCCAGTGCTAGGTGATACAATGCACCCAAGGGGTATACCCAAGGGATGAACATCGATATACCTAGTTCCCTAGCATCGCTTCTCCCGTACTTTTATTTTTAAAAGTAACTGTAATCCCCATTTGGCAGAGTATTGGTCTCACCAAATTTTATCACCTAGACTTGCAACGAATATAGGAGAAGGAAAGTTGATCTAAAAACAACAAACCTTTTACATATCTAGGCAGCTAAAGTAGGGAACAACTCCGACACACTGGATGATGCAATCTTAGACAACCTATCTGCAGCAGCATTTGCCTCTCTAAATATATGAGAAACCTGATAGCCATTTCTATAAATAATAGATGACATTTTATCTAACAATAAAAAGTGCTTCCATGGAAATTCAGAGCGTTGTTGCAACATATCAGCTAAGCTCTTGTTATCCGTTTGCAAGCAAAAATTTGGAGTTGAAGCATCTCTCATTTTCGTAAACCACAAATAGCTCCGGCTACCTCCCCCATAAAACTATCTCCTCCTCCCAAATACCCACTTTCTCCATGAATGAAAACTCCTCCTTCACCACGAATCACATAGTCATATCCTGCTTCATTCAAAATAGAGTAACCATCATAGTTTAAAATGTAAGAATTAGGGTTTGGCGGATGCCATTTTACCTCCTTCAATGTTGGCCGCGGCTTTCCTTTCAAAACAGCCCCAAAATGCTTTTCAAAAAATTCCTTTTCCAAGGAGTTTGAAACCTTCAAGTCATGCACCTTCATCATAAGACAAATCTGATTTCTGACTACATGTATGATTCCCAAAATTTCTTTGTTTCGAGCTTTGCAAATTTCCCAAAGGATTACCATTGGTAGCAGCATGTGAAGGATCCCAAAGGCAGTACTCTTGTTGCTTTTTCTCCACCACCTATAGAGGTTTGAAGCAAGAGAGATAGCTCCATTCAGCTTGATTTGCAGTAGGTCCGCAAAGTAACCCCAAACTTTGTGCACCTTATTGCACCCAAAGAAGGTATGCTCAAATCCATCCCCATGACCATAACAAAACAAGCATATTGAGAGAAAGACTTGAATTCCCATTTGACATAAAACCCCCGGAAATGGCAACAATTTATTACGTAATTTCCATGCAAAAAAAGGATATTCTCAAAGGAACCTGTTTAATCCAAACATGCCGTGGCCATTCTTCTTCAGGGTTGCGCTTTCTTAACACCTCGTATGATGTTTTAACAGAAAAGGCCCCATTAGGGTTATGCTGCCAAGCCAAAAGATCATCCTCCAAAAATTGAAATTCATGAAAAACAAGGAAAACTCTTATATGATCAGCAATGATATTATGAAATTCTGCTAAATAAAAAGATTTTCATCAAAAGTTTCCCTAATTGTTAGTTCTGGGCGTGGGGGCTGAAAGTGTTCCACATCCCAAATAACACCATGTTGTGACCAATTATCAAACATAAAAGAACCATCCCCTCTCCGAACTATCAGCTTTGTATTGTTCACAGCTTTAGCACCAACTCTTGAGATGCGACTCCACAAAGTTTTCTTCTTAGAAGCTTGCGAAAGTGAGGCAATAAATTTACTCCTAACTCCCTTTTTCTGCCTTAATTTCCACCACAACTTAACCGTCAAAGCATCGATAACTCCTTGGAAGTCTCGCACACCTAAAGCATTTTCTGAAACCGGATATGTGATCCTCTCCCAAGACCTCCAATGCCGGCGAGTAGTATCATTTGGTCCATTCCACAAGAAGCGCTGACATTTCTTTTCCAATTCCCTCAACACAGATTTTGGCGGTGGAATAGGTGAGAATACATTCATTGGAATTGATGACAATACATGTCTTATTAGAATGAGCCGACCTTCTGGGCTATGAAGCTTGTTCTTCCAACTCAAAAGTCTAGCATCCATATTATCCAATAAAAATTGGAAAGTAGATACTCTTTGCCGCCCTTGATACAACCGATACCCTAGATAAGCAAATGGCAAAGAACCCTTCTGAATCCCTAGAGTACGGTTAACCTTTTCCAACCCTTCTTGCACTACAATTTTCAGCCACCATAAATGCACTTTTCTGACGGCTAACCTTTTGACCCGAAGCTTGCTCATAAGTGTGAGGAACAAATTCAACTCTCTCAGCGACCTTTTCAACCCCCTGGAGAAGATGATAAGATCATCAGCAAATGCCAAATGAGAAACCACCAAACAAACTCCTTGGAGTGCCATAGTTTGCAATTACACCATTGCTAACCAGGTTATTCAATCTTCTAGTCATCGTTTCCGAAACAATGATAAACAAATATGGGAATAGTGGATCCCCTTGTTTAATTTCCCTTGTGGATTGACGGAAGCCAACCGGACTACCATTTATCATCACCGAAAACTAGCTACTCCGAAGGTTAAACATTATATATCCAACAAAGCGAGATGGGAAACCAAATTTCAGCAAGACTCCCTCCGAAAAAAACTCCATTTAACCCTATCAAAAGGCTTTCATCATATCAAGTTTAAGTATGAAGTTGCTACCTTCAGCTTTACGGCCAAGGAATTGACATAAATCCTGAGCATACATGACATTATCAACAATGTCCCTACCTTCCAAAAAAGCTAATTGCTCTTCCGAAATTATTTTTGACAAGATGATTTTTAGCCTCTCCGTCAAGACCTTTATAAAGACATTATTCAAGAAATTACAAAGGCTTATAGGCCTATGATCTGAGAAAGTACTTACCGCCATTTTCTTCGGGATTAATGTACGCAAGGTGCTCGTTATGGATCTTGGCAATGGAATGCCGAGCATGAATTCTGTGCAAGCACTCAAAAGGTCATTAGCAACACCAGAAGTAGAGTCTTCACTCAAATTGAAAATCGCCTCTTTAATTTCATCAAGAGTTTATAGCCCTCAGCAAGACATTACTATCATCATCATTAGCTAATATAGGAGGTATGTGTTCTAGTAGAGCATTTTGAGCTTCCACAACATTCTGATGATCTTCAGCATCACTCAAACGTTCCCTATACAATTGAACAACTTCTTGCTCAATACCTGCAGATTCCATGATCATTGTGCCATCCATGGATTGAATTTTGAAAATTCCTTGCCGCACCCAGCTTTCCTTCAAAGCAGCAAGGAAGAAAGATGTATTGGCACCACCTTCCTTCAACCACTTAACACTCATTTTTGGATTCCAGAAATCTTCATGTTCTTTTATCTTTTGAAGCAAGTGAGCCTTTGCCACATTCAGCCGAGCTCTATCATTTTCCAGCCCAGTGGAATAGTATAAGCATTCAAGATGTTGTACATTTCTTTATGCTTTTTTCATATTTTCAAACACATCTCCAAAGACATTCTTATTCCACTCCTTCAACTTAGCCTTCAAACGTTGGAGTTTAAGAGAAAACCCTATCATTCTAGAATGATGGATAGGCTGGTCCCAGCATTGTTTTACAATCATCTTGAAATCATTTGTCTTGGAGAAATGAGTTGCCACAGGAAATGATCCTGGAAGTAGAACTCTTTGATGTGTGGGGCATAGACTTTATGGGACCATTTTGTGTCATCTTTTGGCAACACACACATTCTACTTGCAGTTTACAATGTTTATAAGTGGGTATAAGCTGTGGCAGTTCATTCCAATGATGCAAAAGCAGTGATTAGGTTCTTGAAAAAGAACATCTTCTCTCGTGTTAGCACTCCATGGGTAATGATCAGTGATGAAATCTCTCACTTCTGTAATGGAGTATTCACTAAATTGATGGCTATGTTTGGCATTAAGCACAAGGTTTCCACACCTTATCATCCACAGTCCAATCAAACAGAGGTATCAAACAAAGAGATCAAGAGGAAATTGGAGAAGATAGTCAACAGTTCAAGGACTGGATGGTCCGCCAAGCTTGATCATGCTTTCTGGGCATACAGAACTGCTTTTAAGATCCCAATTGGCATGTCTCCGTTCAAATTGGTGTAGGGGAAAATCTTCCCGTTGAGTTAAAGCATAAGGCTTACTGGGCCTTAAGGCAATTGAACATGGATCCAAAACTCAGCAGGGAGCTAAGGCTGTTGCAGCTGAATGAGTTAGAAGAATTTAGGCAGGAAGCTTATGAGTCATCCAGAATCTACAAAGAGAATTCCAAGGAATTTCATGATAAGAATTTGATCAGGAAGCAACTGGAGGTTGGACAGTTAGTCCCACTCTACAACTCCAGGCTAAGGCTCTTCCTTGGAAAACTGAAGTCAAGGTGGGGAGGACCATTCAAGATCAAGAAGATTATGAGCCAAGGAGCTGTGGAGCTACTTGTCTGCAGCATGGGAGCACATTTCTAGTGAATGGACAAAGACTAAAGCCGTATTTGAGAATGCAATCCGAAGGAGAACTGGATAATCCCATCCTGGCACTCCATGATCTTGAATAAGCCTACAACAGAGTCTGGCATAAGTCTATGGATTGTGCGCTTCTCAGGAGGCAACCCAAGCAATTTTGTTCTAACCCTTTTATCTCCTATTACTTTTTTTATAGCATAGGTACAATCTACCCAGATGAAGAGCCAAATTCTAGGAGGAGGGATGAACAGTATCTGACTAATGTCATGGAGAAAAGTGAAGAAGTATGATCAACACTCTGAGGAGTTTGGACGACCACTTTGGGAAGTCAGTTTCGGACTTGCATAAGTCATTTTGAACGATAAAAAAATGCAAGTAAGCCTGTCCTTGATTTTGGGAACCGGTCTTCACTTTAAGTTTGGGGAGAAAACGACTGTGCTGCATTAAGTATTTTGGCGGCCAAAGGGAATAACTTTTTGGCATTAAAAAGACTGGGCATGTGGAGTTGTTGCCTTTTAGTCAAAAACCGTATCTCCCCATGTCCCTAAGCCCCTCTTCTTCTCTCACAACCTTCCCATCTGATGCACTTCAACTTCCTCCATACACTTCTGAGAAATCTTTCTCTATACAAGAGGAACCCTTGAAAATCCTCTTCTCTTCATTGATCCAATCTGTTCAAAGAAAGTCTCTACTACTATTCAAAGGATCAATGGCACCCCGTATAAAACATACAACCAAAAAAAGGACTTTCCAGATCCAGGGGATTGGATTTCCTTGGGTTCAACCAGCGATACCACCTCTACCAATCCCTGATTCAGAAAACACCAGGGAGGAAAGAGATGAAGTTCGAAGACGCCTCCATGAACCTAGAGATTGGAATTTCTTTTTGACCAATCTCGCCTGGGAATTTTTCAAGAAGAACAGGAATCGGGAGGCCATTATCGAATGTCACCTCATCAATGAAGGAAATCCATCCACGTACATTGAGGATAAAGGCTGGGAAGATTTGTGTGATCCAATTTTTCGGCCACGACTCGTGGTAGTACAAGAATTCTATAAAAACCTTGCAGGTGTACAGGGAGAGAGGCGCTACATCTTCGTTCATGGCTATAGCATGGAAGTTAGCACGGAGGTTATCATGGAAGTTCTGGGATTACTAGAATTCAACAATGATTGCGAGTATGAAGTTGCAAACCTCCACAAGAAAAAGGACATCTGGGATTCCATAAAGAAAGTTCTTTGCAACAATCAAAAGACTTTCAATTGGACGCCGGTAGTGACCCCAAACAATTCCCTGCTAAGTACCCCAAGGATCAATACCGAGGATGGTTCAACTTGGTCTGCACGAACATCAAGCCAACAAAATCTTGCCAGTATGTCACCTTTGACAGAGCACTGATGGTCTCTACTATAGTGAATGACATCGCCATCAACATTGCACCAATCATCCGATAGTAAATAGGTGCCTATTCTAATAACCAGAAACAGAAATGCTGGTTCTTCCCAGTTCTCATCACCAGGTTAATGGAGAGGGCAGGAGTACATTTCGGACCGCGAGATAGAAGATTGAAGCTGCCAAGGCCCTGGCATCTAGAACCACCACCACCGCTGCCACCACTTGCAGGATTACCTACGTGGGGGATCAGGAGAGTCACTAGTTCCCTTTTTCTTTTCTTTTTCTTTTTTCTTTTCGTTTTTTTTTTTAAAAAAAATTGTATTCTTTTGTGTTCATTGTTTTCATTCCCTCTCTTTTCTTCTGGTTAGCATTGGGGACTAGTTTGTTTTTAGGTCTCTGTTTTTAGGTAGCTGCATATGTGTTTTTTTTGCTTTTGGGCACTTTGCCCTTTTTTCTGTTTTTCTGTGTTTTGTTTTTCTTCTATGATCGAGTCAGTAAAGTCTTTCGGGGTCTAGGTTAATTTAGAATGCATGTTAAGTAGATAGTCAAATGTCAAGGATGAAAACAGAATTTAGGCTTACATTTGGCTGAACATTTGTTTGAAAACCAAATTGATCAAAATTGAAACTCACTTCCACTTCCTTATGCACATAGTTCATTCGACAAAGTGTTGTTCTGGACTTAAATGCTTCAAAATTTGAAATTTTTTCCTGCATTGTTGTGATATGTATTGGAGCTCACTTGTTTGTTAATCTGGGGGGATTGTAATCCTGGATATAGATTAAGGCAACCCTACGCATTATGACAGTCTCGATTCAAGCCCACAGTGATTTGTATTAGCCTAAAATAATGTGGAAAAAGGGGAAGTTGGCAGTTTAAACTGAGGTTATCTGTTTAGCTAATTGAAAGAGTATAGGCAGAGTGCCCAATGTGCCATTATAAACCCTTGAGAGTTGAGGCATGGCAACCAAAGAGAGGAGTGTCCTCAGGCCTGGTGAGATAAAAATATAAATGCTTAGAATACCATAAAAGTGCTGAAAAAATGTGCTCGGTAAAGGCCTGAGTGGGATAGATCCAGAAAAAAAAGCCAACATGGACAAATGGAGGAAAATAGTATGAGGGTGAAAGATACAGCCAATGTGCTAACAGTCCAAAGAGAAAATCTCTTAGTCTAAAATCCAGTTAGAATACCCTAGTTGCAGACCTAATTGAAATAGGTACAGATCCAAGAATGTCCACTATGCTAAATTGAACTTAATCTGAAAAGGAAAAAAATCAACACTTTGTTCTGTGTTCTATCACACACACACACACACACACTTTGGGAAGTAAGTTTTTGTCTTGCTCATCTGGTTTTGAACTATAGTGTATATAACCTATCTCTAGTGAGACATGTTTCTGAGATAAAAATTTTGATTGTTTTCTTTGTTCCATTCTCATGTTAGAGTCAGTATGGGGGGTAGATGTTATGTTTGCTTGAGGACAAAAAATTCTTCAAGTTTGGGGGAGTTGATGAGTGTCAATCTATGCATGTTTTTAGACACATAATTTGCCTCTTTGTACTTAGTTGTTAGGTCAATTAGATTAAGATTTTATGTTTATAGGTTAATTTTGCAACTTTTGGTGATCCAGGGACTTAAATACAAAATCAGTAAAAAGTGGTCAAAATGTGGCAAAATTGTGAAGTTCCAGGCACAATTGAAAGTGGCTGATTGGACTGAAGTGCAAGGGTAGAAGTGAGGCTAAATCCGGCGGGAAGAGGAGCTGATTGAAGGCCAAATTGAACCAAGACTTCAAGGCTAAGGAAAATGAGAAGGTGGTGAAGTGATGCTGCTGATAAGGGATGAGGTTGATGTGCCTTAAAGCTAAATTAGAGCAACCAAATCCTCTCCAAAAGATGATTAGAGGTAAGGGGGTAGTTGAGAAAGTATGGGTCTCCTCTCTTTTGCTTAAACCCATCGGGTAAAGAGAAGACCAACGTGGCTAAGCAAGATTACTCCCCCAGCCTCTATATAAACCAGTAGCAGCAGAAGGAGAAGGTAACAAGAGTTAGGATAGTAGAAGTAAAGATTAGTTTAGCTCAGTTAGGTTAGAAACAGAGCATAAGTCTAGAAAGCAGACTCAGGGGTGTACCTTGGGAAAGTGAGAAGCTGACTCTGCGAAGTCAGCTGCACTTTACCACACTCCCTGACTTTGTTCTTCCCCTATTTTCTACCTTTTCTATTATAACCATGAGGAGGTCTCAACACTTGAACTTTTGGTGTTTGAGCATCCCTCCATGTGTAGCTAAACTGATTTCTAGGGTCTAATTCCTCTACTCTATACAAGTATGTTTTGATTCAAGCTCTCGGATGATATTTGTGTGCTTAGTCTTAGAGTTCTCATTTACCTTTTAGTTGAATTGGCCACTTAACTAATCGTGCTTGCATGTTAGGGGAATCCCGAAAGGGTAAATTTAACTTAGAACGTCTAAGATTAACCGGTGACAAGGGGGTAACAGCCCAAGGTTTTAAACAACAACGAAAGTTAGTTGTTTGGCATGAGGCAATCATAGGGCTTAGGATCTTAATAGCTTAGTGGTGTTCTGGAGTCAACAACAAAAGTTAGCGGCCTTATTGCTACCAAAACTGCTGTTTGGAATATTGAAAGGGATCTTATAGGGTTATTGTGTCTGATTGAACACAATTTCATACCACATAGGGAGCGAAAGAATAATCACATATGTATATAGTAGAAATCAAAGTTAAGCAAAGTCAAAAAAATTAAAATCAAACATCAGGCTAATCAAAATGTTGTGTAGAACCAAAGACAATAATGCTTATCTGAATATACGCAGTCACGAAAGATGATCTTGTCGGCAATAAGTAACAGAGGTTTCAGAAAATCCGGGGATAACTTCCTAGCAAACATAAACGAATAAGTTGAATTTGAAAATTGGAGCTCCCTTATTAGCTTCGGTGACACCTCAAAGGATTGATGAAAGACTGAGATTTGGACACCTTTTCAAAAATTAGGGATGAAATTAGGGCAACCGATTGGAAGAAGATGCCTTTTCGGATTTGTATAAAACTAGGGTACCGCTGGAAGAGGATGCCAGAAATAGATTGGAAGAAGATGCCCGCAGCTGATTCAGCTCGCGTTTGGAAAGATTTGGGTCAAATGAGCGGCAGGAGATTTGCTGGTTTGGGAATGACTTAGAACATTTTGAGAGAGGTAAGTGTTAGGAAATTTTTTTAGAAAAATGGCTAGTGTTAGGCAGATTTGGGGGTAGACAAAAGCAAGGTGAATTTTAGCCAAAAGCGCCAACTTTTTTTGGCATAACCGGGACATTTCCCCCATCTTTTTTACGCCTTATTTAGTAATAGGCAAAAAAAAATTCTAGGATAATCAATTTAATCAATATTTCTTGTTTTGACTTTGTTTTTGACACATTAAAATGACTAAATTTTATATTGACCCCTACTAAATTACAAATAGAAATGCTAATACTTATAAAGGGACACCTTTAATTTCTTTTCTTATTTGAACCATGTGCTAATGAAATTTTTTTCATTTACACCCTTAATAAATATTTTTCCTATTTTAATTTTAACCCAAATAGTATGATATATATACAAGCATATGAATTTGTACTCCCTCCGTCCCAAAAAATGACGTTTCACTTTAGTGTAAATGAACATGAAAATGAAAATTATTCATTGATGTTAGCAGTAAACATTACTACTAATTACAAACTAATAGCATATAATTAATGACTACTTATCAAATCATAAATGCATTATGCATTATCGCTTATGTGATAACTTAAAAGTAATATTACTATATTATTATTGTTATCATCGATCAATTGTTCACTTGAAACGAATTATTGTTAATACTTAATGACTGTGTAAAAGTAATAGATTTTATAGTTATTGACATAATTTAACACCATATACACTATGTATATTATATATATGTATATATATGGATAACCACATACGCAATTTAAAGTACAAACATACTATATTTATAGCAAATGTACCTAAATATATATATATAGGATAACTGTTTTGTTAGTACTAAATGATATATGTATATACACACACATAGTACGGTATATCTATGAGATACACAATATTGAAGAAGATTTGATTAAATAATTAGATGAAAAGTCTATTATATATTAATTTAGTTAATTACCAAATTTCACATCTATTCAAAATTATAGATAACACTTTATTTATTTTAATAGAAAAATCAATAAAAAATTAGTAATTGCAATTTACCCACAAGTTACTCACCAAACGATCGAGGGTAATTAAAACCACTGTGGTCTTTAAAGACCACCTTTAATTATTTTCAATAGAAAAACCAATGAAAAATAGTAATTGCAATTTACCCACGAGTTACCCACATATTACCTACCAAACTATCGTGGGTAACTAAAACCACCGTGGTCTTTAAAGACCACTTTTATTTATTTTTAATAGAAAAATAATCAAAAATAGTAATTGTAATTTATGCACGAATTACCCACTAAATGATCGTGGGTAATTAAAACCACTGTGGTCTTAAAAGACCACCCTTCCCAATACTTAGCCAAATTTTTTAAAATTTCATGTGATTTTCAAAGACCACCTTGTTTCTTAAACACCACCTGGTCTTTATGACCACTTTCTAAACACTTAGCCAAATTTTCAAAAATTTCATGCGGTGTACCCACGCCTTACCTACGAATTACCCACAAACACTTTACCCACAATAATATTGTGGATAAATGATGAATAATTTAATTTAGTCACGGGTTACCCACAAAGCAACTATCATGTCTAATTAACCACGAAAGAAACCATGATTAATATGTGGGCAATTTTCTTGCGAGAAACCATTACCCACGGATTACCAACAACATTTTAGGTCGTGGTTAAAGTGGTGAGCAATCCTTGGGCAGCACGTGGGGAAATTGAATCTTTTGATGGACCCCATTTTGGTCAATGCTCGTGGGTGTTGTGTGGGTATATTGTGGGTATTTACCCACAAATTTCCAAGACTGGGAAAATTCTGTGGGTACGGCCATATGTTTTTGCAGTAGAGAGTCAATTGGTAAAGAAGAAATCTGATTCTAGTAAGTCTTCTACATCTTGGGAGAAGAATGATTCAAAGAAGTATGGTGATTCATCTGAGTTTAAAAAAGGGAGTACTTGTAATGCTTCTTATACTTCTAAAACATCTTCTAATGTCAAGAATTATACTTCATCTAGTAGTACTAACAGTGTTAAAAATAGAGATATTGCATGTTTTAAGAGAGGTGGTTAAGGCCATATAGCTTTTTCTTGCTCTAGTGTAAAAACTATGATACTTAAGGAAGATCGAACTTATGAAAGGAGACTGATGAAGAAGAAGCAGAAGTGTGACATCTTCTTCAAGAAGTTGAAAGGGAAGATGAAGAGTTAATGTCGACGTTGGAAAAGTGTTTGTGAACTTTGAGCATTAAAAACTCAGTAGCAGAAGATCATCAACAAAGAAACAACATTTTCCATACCAAGTGCAGCGTGAAGGACAAGATATGTAAAATTATTATTGATCCAGTCGTTGCTAGTTCATATCTTGCTAAAAAATTGAAGTTACCTACTATCAAGCATCTGACACCCTATTGGTTCCAACAGTTACATAACTGTGGCGATCTTAAAGTCACTAGACAAGTGAGTGTACCATTCTCTACTAGAAAACTTGAGGATCAAGTACTTCGTGACAACCTATGGAGGCAAGTCATTTACTTTTAGGATGGCCTTGGGAGTATGACCGAAGAACTAAGCATGATGGATTCACAAATAATTAAATTTTAGTTATGATCAATGATCATAACTATACCTTGTCATCTCTTTCACCTCCTCAAGTTCATGAAAGTAATCTTAGAATGATGCAAAAAAGAGAAAAGTGTAGGAAAGAAAAGAGTCCTAAAACTGAGTCTACTTTGGACGTTCCAAAGAAATCTCCAAATGGACTACACATTCAAGCACTAGTGGCCAAAAATTTCTTTGTTAGTCCTAAATTAGTGGAGAAGCGCTTCGCAAGTGATAAAGGTATAATTTTAATGCTTTATCATTACAATTCTTTATTACTAACTGATGTTCCTATCAATTTGCCTACAGTGTTCCAAAAGCTACTCCAAGAGTTTGAGGACATTTTCCCTGAGGAGTTACCGAACGAGCTTCCTCGTATATAAGGAATTGAACATCAAATTGATCTGATTCTAGGCGCTGTAATTCCAAATAGGCTTGCATACCATGCAAATCCTGAAGAGACAAAGGAACTACAAAAGAAAGTCAAGGAACTCCTTGCTAAAGGGGTAAAAATTCGTGAATCTCTTAGTCCTTGTGTTATTCTTTTGTTACTTGTGCCCTAAGAAAGATGGTACGTGACGTATGTGTGTAGATTGTCATGCCGTTAATAAGATTGTGACGGCCCGACCAGCACCACTCTGGAACATATATACAAATGGGCACAGTCGATAACCAAACCCACAAATCTTATATTACATACGAACGTAAAATTCAAGAGTTAATACAAAACTCCAACCCGAGTCATTGTTCACCAAACTACAAACCCAAAAGGATTATATTTCACATGCAAAATATCCACAAACTATTTACGTTCTTTCAAACGAGCGTCGTCTCATAAATCGGTCATTTGTCTCGTACTAGATTTCCAGCTCTCTCGATCCTGGGAGTGGGATAGGGAGTAAAATATAAAAAGGAGATGAGCGTCAAGCTCAGTGAGGTTCCTACTATATGTACTACGAGATACTTTTAATAAATCAAGTTGGAAAACAAAAATGTTATTCAACTATAAAACAATTTCATAAATAGAATTTAACATGCAACAATCAAACATTTCACATTGGTTATTTAACAATGGGGTGGATACGGGAAAACCTTAGCAAGGGCCGTCAAAGAGCCTACGTGGTACAGTGACGGACTCCAAGCCAGATTTTAACAATATGATAGCGTCCATCTGGACAACAATTCCGTATCAATAACAATCCCTCCTCAACACCCGTGGCCACCGATTGATACTCATGAGCACCACATCCATCTGGACAACAACAGGCTAGGTAAGCTAACCTGGCGACCAAGCCTGACGTCGGCCCGCAAGGCTTTGCCTAACAAAAGCAGGGCTCAGGCTCCAAGTGAATAGAGTCCACCGAAGCAACAATCACACATTATTGCATAACAATCAATCAATAGCAACAATAGTTGTCCTGATGTGATAAAGTATATCACCAGAAGCAACACATTTAACGATCATACTCAATCCAGTAACCAATCAATAATAACGTTCAATCACATAACGATATCACTTTATCTCAGATACAGTAATGCCCAGAACACATATGCCGAGGCGATAAAGTACACTTTCGGGTCATTCAATAACATGCATTTAATATTTCAATAGCATTTAAAAATGTGCTCGAAAGTGCAGTGACTTTAAAATATATATTCTCATACTCCCAGTTTTTAAAAGAGTGAGAATTACTCACCGGTATCGTTAAGCAGCTTAGCGTCTCCGTGCACTCGATCTGCAATTTAAGGTTTTCAAAAACGTTACACTACCTCGTGTAAAAGGCTTCTACCACCTATAATACTCTAATTCCTTTACATATGACCGTTAATTAGTGGTAACCTATATATCCTAATAGTAATAGATTAACACTAATCGTTGTTTCCAGAAGCAGTGTTATAGTTATTATTATTATTATTAGTATTATTATGTAAAATAAAAGGGTTTAGTTTATCATTCCAATTGTTACAAAACTCTCCACCATTTTAGCTACACTCCAAAAGTTTATTTTTTTTTATAGTTTTAATTGCTTAAGCATGTTTTTATATTATTCTCTTTATTAGAAACTTTTATCTAATGAAATTATACATAGTAATAGTAATTAGTTACTGTGTAGTTTTAATTCGTTACCTATTTTTTTCCTTTTGACACCATATAATTAACTAGCCAGAACTGTGACTAACTATTAGAGCTAATACAAGTTTGGTTAAACCCACTTCCCTTTCTTTCTTTTTTTAAATACTTTTGGTTAATCAAACTAAAAACAATTTTAATGGACTAATTACTAGTCTTTTATGATGAGCTATTACACGTGGGGTTTGCTGTCCTCATTGTAATATGAGGTCTACAATAACTAAAAACAAAGTCTTGCTTTATTTATCTTATCAAATTTTGTGGCTACTAAAGTAATGGATTTTAACTAACTACAATTGATTCTCCAAAACTTTGTAGCTTCCAGTTCCTAAAGGAACTCTACACACCATCTATTTTATTATGATCCTTTAAGATGTTTACAACCTAGCTACCAAACCTGAATGATTGTGATGTTTCTTTAATATTACCATAGGTCTTGGTTTGCCTTCACCAATAATCTATTATTTTATTATTGTTATATCTCCTTAACTTGGTTCTTATCTAAAGAACTGATTATATTTAATTATTTAATAGATTTATATAAACTAAAGGCTTCCTACAACCATCTTTTCATTTCTAAACCTGGGTTATAAACTTGGGTCATGACACCCTTTCCCCCTTAAGAGAATTTTGTCCTCGAAATTCATTCATAACTTACAAAATAAAGTAAGACTAGATAACCAATAATTCGCTTCTTACATAATTTCCCATTAAACAAATTTGCGGAACAACTTTTCCGAACATGTAATATCTCACTTCTTTGATTTAATAATCTAAATGCACACCTCACTGTAATGATTAATCCATTCATACTATGAAACCATAATTCTTGTATAGACACCAAGATCAGATAAACTGGTAATTTATGTTCCTGAATCACAGTTTTGGTGCTTCCTATCTATACGTCTCCTTTTTCTGCTGTTAGGGTACCGACTTTTAGCTAGTATACTAATTAGTTGGGCGCTAAGACTTAAATGTTTAACAAGATCTCATTAGCCAAAAGAACGAGTCGAGCCACGACCTATGAAGTTAATAGATAGTCTCTTTAAAACGAAAGACATACCTTCAACAACATCAGTGGATTCTGGTTCGTTTCTCTTTCCCAAAGCAAAGACTCGTGCAGAAACGCGAGGTTTTGAAGCATCTCTGTTAAGATTCTTCGGTGGCGTAGTACTTCCAGATTGGGAACTCTGTCCAAGCCTATCGCGATTCTTCGGGCATTCACGAGCGTAATGCTCAGTGCTTCCGCACCCTAAGCATCTCCGTTGTTTGAACCAACAATTTTTCTCGAGATGTCCAGGTTTGCGGCAGAATGCGCAGATTGGTGTCGCATCTGTCACGGGTTGAGCTTGGCCAGCTGATTCAGAAGGACTCATTCGCTTTTCTGTAGGAACCTCGAAACGTCTTGGAGGGATGTTTCCCTTAGGCTTCAACCACGCATTTGTGTTCGATCGCTTCTGGTTCAGAAAGTTTCGAAGCTTGGCTTGACGATGTTCCACTCTCTGAGCAGCATCGAACATATTCTCAAAGGAATCATACGTGGTGGCGGCCAGTGCAGTTTGAATTTCCAAATTGAGGCCTTGCTCAAACCTCTGTCTTCATTCTTCATCCGTCTCGACAAATTTGGGTGCGAACCTCGACAATTTGGTGAAGGTAGCTTCGTATTCAAGAACGGTAGTAGTATTCTGACGGAGATTGATGAACTCCTCTTGCTTACATTCGTGCACAATAGCAGGTACATACTTGTTAGTGAACTCCTTGACGAAGTTAGCCCAGGTATAAGGCACACGATCCCGATCCCAACGAATTTTGATCAACTTCCACCAGGCTTTGGCTGCCGCTTCAAGTCGATATACCGCAAACATAACCTGGCGTTCTTCAGAATACTTAAGGGCGTCAAATATTTCACTTATGGCTTCTAACCACAATTCTGCTTTCTCATAGTTAGGTTCACCGTTGAACTTGGGAGGGTTGAACTTATGGAAGCGCTCTAGTGCCACATCCTCGCTTTGCCCAGCATTCTGTGGTTGTCCCTATGGCGGCAATGTTATTGCCCCCATTTGCTCATAATACTTCCTCATTTGCTCAAAAGCACGAGTCATCTCTAAAGTCATGTTGCCGACAGTACCTTCTGGCTCAAGACGTGTCTCCGAAGGCTCAGGCTGGGTACGTTCTTCCATCCTATACAAATATTTCTAGGGTTGTTAATATATGGAATAATAAAAAGCTAAAGGGGAAAAATGTAGAAATCAAGAACGCATTGATTTTGAGAAAGAACCGCTCTTAGAGAACATCAAATATATATTCACATAGATGGTGAATAAACAAACTTTTCTCTTAGTAGGTTAAAGCACAAACTGTTTGTCAGCCAAATTGTACGAGATTCAAGTGGGCTTATATTATACGAAAAGATCCCCATAACGGATTCCCAAAAGAAATAAAAAAAGGGCAGGCAAATTCAAGAAGAGGTATATGTGAGTGACTAACAACTGTCACTCATCTATCGCCTTGTGACCTTTGATATCTTCTACATGACGACGGACTGCCTAAAGGGTGGCGTTAGCGTATATAACGATGTTCTCTTCAGAGTTCCAAAACTCAGCACGTGCTGACTACACCTTTGCATATGATAGTTGTGCTCAATGCATAATTGGTCGATCTCCTGATCTTCATACACAATCAGCTCCACCTGCTCTGCACCCCAGTGTACAATTTCCATTCACGATGAGTGTTGCGATGCTAGGTGACGGAGCGGCTCCTTTCAACGAACAGCTACGAGTACCACATCATTTGGGTAGAATTGGATACCAAATGTTGGCATACGTTTCCACGAGCTATGTAGGGTGGCCAGAGTTGATGTCTTGCTCCTTTACGGCGATAACAACGCATGACACGTGCGCATTCCATAAGGTCCTATTACGAAAGGATGGGTACCATACTTTTCCACTAAAGGTATGGCTCAAAATGGCCACAGACCTATCACTGAGGATCATTCTAACATTCTCCTTGCCCTAATCAAATGATGACAACAGAAGGAACTCTACTAACTATTGCCTAAGCCAAGAACGTTCTCACAATGAGTATACCAATAACTAGTTGGATTTCTAACCGTGCTCTGATACCACTTGTGACGGCCCGACCAGCACCACTCTGGAACATATATACGAATGGGCTAGTTAGGACATCTACCTGACTTACGCCAGGATTCGATAAACAGTCGATAACCAAACCCGCAAATCTTATATTACATACGAACGTAAAATTCAAGAGTTAATACAAAAGTCCAACCCGAGTTATTGTTCACCAAACTACAAACCCAAAAGGATTATATTTCACATGCGAAATATCACAAACTATTTACGTTCTTCGAACGAGCGTCGCCTCGTAAATTGGTCTTTTGTCTCGTACTAGATTTCCAGCTCTCTTGATCCTGGGAGTGGGATAGGGAGTAAAATATAAAAAGGGGGTGAGCGGCGAGCTCAGTGAGGTTCCTACTATATGTACTACGACGATACTTTTAATAAATCAAGTTGGAAAACAAAAACGTTATTCAACTGTAAAACAATTTCATAAACAGAATTTAACATGCAACAATCAAATATTTCACATTGGTCATTTAACAATGGGGTGGATACGGGAAAACCTTAGCAAGGGCCATCAAAGAGCGTACGTGGTACAGAGACGGACTCCAAGCCAGATTTCAACAATACGATAGCGTCCATCCGGATAATAATTCCGTATCAATAACAATCCCTCCTCAATACCCGTGGCCACCGATTGATACTCATGAGCACCACTTTCATCCAGACAACAATAGCCTAGGTAAGCTAACCTGGCGACCAAGCCTGACGCCGGCCCGCAAAGCTTCGCCTAACAAAGGCAGGGCCCAGACTCCAAGTGAACAGAGTCCACCGAAGCAACAATCACATATTATTGCATAACAATCAATCAATAGCAACAACAGTCACACATTATTGCATAACACACTAAAGGAACTCTACAAACCATCTATTTTATTATGATCCTTTAAGATGTTTACAACCTAGCTACCAAACCTGAATGATTGTGATGTTTCTTCAATATTACCATAGGCTCTAATCCTCTGTTGGTGGGTATTTTACTAGGATTCAAAGCTCAAGGGTTTTAATCAATCAAAACCGTACAAACTAAAACTAAAGCTTGCAAGTTTCCTTTATATTCATGATTGTTTTAATAAATTATAGTAAGCTGATTACTAAGGCTTTCAAGAGTGTTAAAAAAGACAGAGTTTTCTAGGCTTGATTAGCTTTCAAGTTGTTTATTATCACGTAATGATCTAAAACTAGGTTTGGCTTGAATAAGTTGATTAATTTTGCACTAATGGAACAAAAGAAATCTACCCGAACCTCACCGTACTTCACCCTGCTGTTTTCACTCCACAACAGCCAGCATCAATGAAATAACCATCATACAGTATCGAACAACCATGGAAAAAACCAAGAGCTTGAACACTTACCGAAGTAGATAACAACAACGTTCCGAAAACAAGAATCTTAGTTTTGTGCTTCTTTTTCCTTCGTTCTCCTATTTTCCTTTCTCTGTTTCTTTTCTCTCTGTTGTTCTTTTTTTCTGTCTCCCGGTGGAAAGAAGTCTGAGCTTGTATTTATACTAGAGAACTAATGGTTTTCCTTAAACTAGTGCACGTGAGTTCACATAGATCAAGCTTTCATTTTAAGCTAGCTTAATTCCTACGGTTTGCTTGTCTAGGAGATTTAGAAGAATACAGAAACTTGACAGCTCCTACTTGTGATTTGTCTTGGTTTGCCTTCACCAATAATCTATTATTTTATTATTGTTATATCTCCTTAACTTGGTTCTTATCTAAAGAACTGATTATATTTAATTATTTAATAGATTCTATATAAACTAAAGGCTTCCTACAACCTTCTTTTCATTTCTAAACCTGGGTTATAAACTTGGGTCATGACACCCTTTCCCCTTAAGAGAATTTCGTCCTCGAAATTCATTCATAATTTACAAAATAAAGTAAGACTAGATAACCAATAATTCCGTTCTTACATAGTTTCCCATTAAACAAATTTGCGGAACAACTTTTCCGAACATGTAACATCTCACTTCTTTGATTTAATAATCTAAATGCACACCTCACTGTAATGATTAATCCATTCTTAGTTTTGTGGTTCTTTTTCCTTCGTTCTCCTATTTTCCTATCTCTGTTTTCTTTTCTCTCTGTTATTCTTTTTTTTTTGTCTCCCGGTGGAAAGAAGTCTGAGCTTGTATTTATACTAGAGAACTAATGGTTTTCCTTAAACTAGTGCACGTGAGTTCACATAGATCAAGCTTTCATTTTAAGCTAGCTTAATTCCTACGGTTTGCTTGTCTAGGAGATTTAGAAGAATACAAAAACTTGACAGCTCCTACTTGTGATTTGTCTTGGTTTGCCTTCACCAATAATTTATTATTTTATTATTGTTATATCTCCTTAACTTGGTTCTTATCTAAAGAACTGATTATATTTAATTATTTAATCGATTTTATCTAAACTAAAGGCTTCCTACAACCTTCTTTTCATTTCTAAACCTGAAGGAAACAAAGGAATCAAAGTAGTGGATCAAATCTTTTCTTTAACATAGTACCAGCCCCATATGCCACGTTTATGGTGATCCACTAGTAGCAAAATGTGCAGGGATGCGGCCGACCTAATCTCCCCCTTCTGTTTAGTAAATTATTTTAATCTTTGATGCTCCAATTCATTTAATATCTACAATGGAATGGATGTGTAGGTTGTGCCTCCAAATACTTCCAAAGAAGAAAAACTAATTAAACACTTTGTGGGAAACTTTGTTTCCAAGTTATGCTACTACATATATTAGTGTCTAATCAAAAACAATATGAAGCGTAACGTTATTAGTTTGATATCTTAAATTAATTAATCAGTCATTTTCTATTAATTTATTTATTCGGTGTTTCAAGATTAATTCCTAGAGGCTCAAAGTTTATTACTGTCGTATAATTTAATTTACTATCAACCTATATTCTTATATTAATCTTATGTTAATTTTAACACATACTAATGTGTTCATATTTTCTCTACTATATTTTATTCTTATTTTTTAATTACTAGATAAATTTTCATTGTACTAGCCACGTCAATTTACATATGAATATCCACATCAATTTACTTAGTATTAAACACGTCAAAATTTTGGGTCATGACAAAGCTAACTATTAAATATAGACATCCAATCCCTAGATTAGATGATATGCTTGAAGACCTTTAAGGTTCTACTATTTTCTCTAAAATTAATTTGAAATATGGCTATGGTGGGTTGTCGAAGCCCCCAAAATAATTTACCAACTTAAAATGTAGATAGGATAAGTCAGGTCGATCCCACAGGGACGGGTTAAACTTCAAATAACACGAAATTGGACAAACAAGAAAGAAAGTTGCAGAGTGTCACTCACTTGCACGAGTGGGTAAATTCACTCAGGCAAGTGACTCTGCAGAACTGAAGACAAAGAAAGACAAATGGAACCTCACTCACGGGAGTGAGAATTCCAACTCAAGGGACTGACTCTGCAAACTGGATATTCATTCTCTTTTCCCTATGTAATCAAGCTGTAATGTTGCACTCTTTTGGTATGAATTCATG